ATCCCTAGAAATCACCTCAACAACAATATGAAATGCAAATGATGTAAATCAAGCACAAGGTGACACGATGATTTAACCCGTGGTTCAGCTCACCACCAAGGCTTGCCTACGTCCATGTTGTCGAGGTTAGCCACTAAGGCTTAGGGCTTTGCAACCCTTCCTTGTTCTCAAGTCAAGAGACTCAACTCTTGAGATAAGGGGTGAGTTTACTAGCTTCAAGAGGTGGTGACAAACATCCTGGGGCTACCACACTAGTTGGCAAGCTCTACGGACGATGCTCTAGACGGCTAGGAGCAAAGCTCCAAGAGTAATAAACACAACCACCGACCAAAATGTGAACCAAGTGCTCTTTTAAGTTGGGGAATCAAAGGATCTGCTCTCTAATTGAGTTTGAGACATTTGTCTCTCAAGGATTGATGGGAAAATCAAAGAAGAATGCTTGGGAGCTCAAGGTCACCAATGGAGGAGAAAAAGAAGGGCACTCTTCTGTTCTTGGACGGGCTGAATGAGTGGAAGAGAGAAGAGAGATGTTGGGAAGGAAGGGGAAAGGTATAAATACCCTACAACCCCAACGGTCACTTAAGTCATGGCAGTACCGTGGCTCAAGCGCGGCAGTGCCGCGCTGTGGTAGTGCCTCTCTCAAAGTGCGGCACTACCGCACCAGGCAAGACAATAAGGGTAAGAGTAAAGTGTTGGCTGTCTTGGCTGAGTAACTGAGGATATATGTGTAAGATTGAGCACTTAGTAGCACATGTTAGCTTAAGCATTGTGTCCTGCTTTATAGTATGGCTTTTCTTATACTCAAATTCAAAATATAAAAGAATTTAAACCTCCTTTGAGTTTGAAGCCATCAACATTTGTAACTGGGGGCTCCTCCATTTCGTGTAACATCCTCGAATATAGATTCCCTACTTATTATCTCGATAAATCTCATTAGTTCTCTAATTACGTGGTCAATATCACCAAAACCTACAACTAAGGCTTGATTGCAGTTTTAATCCTCAATATCATCAACAACATAGGATGGGTCTTTTTGAATAGGGCTATGAACCACCTGTAGAGCATTGGGTGCAACAATATCATAGTACATAGTTTCCTCATCAACACCTACATGTTCATTCTGTGGTTCAGGATTCCTAAGGTAATCATTCTCATCTGCATCATTATTGTCTATGTTGTCATTATCTATGTTGTCCTTAGGTTGGGTATCCACACCAAAATCCTAATCCATGACATGCTCATATGGATCAGAATGACCTCGATATACAACAAACATGGTGACAACCTTTCTCTTCAAATGTTTATCAAACATAGACATCAACTCTTGGTCGGTTTTCACTTTTGGGAAAGATTTTAGACCTTCATCATAATACTGAATATGAGCTACTTTCAAATAACCAGGCGGGTACTTCTCTACCACTGATTCAACAAGGTCCTCATAATTTATTTTGTCTAAATCAACGACCATGTCAAAGCAAAAATATTTCATATCTTGTCTACACTTTTTACGGTTGCCCAACAATTTAACTTTCAGCTTGAAACTAGAATTTGGATCCATGCTGTTATTCAAAATCAAAATAGGGTTTACAGTTTCGGTACATCTGTAACTACTTCTAGGAGTAGAAAAATTGTGGACTCACCCTTGTAGCCAATCTTCTTGATCGGAGTCGACGCCATCCTCCGTTTCTGCGCGCTTGCTGCAGGATGGGCCTACCGCAGAGGTCGCTTGTTGGAGAAATTGGCTGGCGGCGGCGTGAAATTCTTGCTTTCGCTAGAGGTGGCGGCCACGTTGTTTCTCATTGGAGGAGACGCCTTTCATTTGGAGGGGCCGCGTCGGGGCTATTCATTTGGAGGGGGGTCATACGGGTCGCTTTCGGACGGACGACGGTCTCATTGGTGCCTTTGCAATGGCATTGGAGGAGGGGGCTTTGCTTGGCCACTCGATGAGGAGCCACCGGGCTAGCCGCTCAACGAGGAGCCGCCGGGCTGGCCATGCCGGACCAGCCCCGGCTGCGCGAGCTGCACGAGGTGGGCGGCGACGCCTCCCCCACGGCGAGGAAGGACAGGAGAGGGGTCGGGCGGAGATGGATCCGGCGGATCCAGGAGATCCTGGCCGAGGCACCTGGTCGGTGGCGGCGGCGCACTCCCCCATCTTCCTCGCGAGTCGTAGGACCGGACGGACGCTCGATCTTTTTTTTTCCCGATACGTGACGTGGGTCTAACTCGCTCGGCTCAGTGTGGCCCCTTTAAAAACACAGAAGGGGAATTTCGTCTTTTCGCGTATCCACCAGTGGCCAAACTAACAGAGTTCGCTAACAGACTTGACGAAAGGCCATTGAAGAAATAAAAGTTCATTTCAGGACCATACAAGTAAGTTAAAAAAAGGCAAGCTCAATTCTCTACGTACTGGTACTGTATCTTTTGGTGACTTTCACGAAATTCTACCGGCGATTCTTCTTGCTGACATGCATGATGCCTACTGCTGAGGTCGCTGACTTGCTGTCGATCGCGCGCCTCCTTCCAATTATCATCCCCATCGATCGGATCCGATCCAAACCCGCACAACGGACATTTGGAGGTGAAGGCATCAGTACCAGCCAGTACCACCATCAACAGCAGCTCTAGCTTCTGTTGCAGACGTGCCTTTTTGCTTGCCGAGTGAAAGCACCGCCACAGCACTGGGCACGGAAGAAAGCGAGACGGTTGATGCCCCCATTGCCCAACGGCACGCGACTATGTGGCGGGCAGGTTCGGCTCGGTTTGGCGCCCGCGCCAACGGTTGCTTGGCGGCTAAGGCTAGCCCTGCCCAAATTTTACCGAGAACCGAGAACCATACCGAAAAAACTAAGAACCGAACCGAATTTATCGAGAACCGAAGTCTCGGTTCCCTGTCCGGTTCTTATTTTCGAGGAACCAAAATTTGTTCGGTAAAATCGGTTCCCCCCCTCGGTTAACCGAACTAACTGAAATTTGCTGCTTTGCTGATTGCCTTGCTGATTGGCTATTGCCTGGTCACCTGGATGTATTTCAGTATTTGTGTTGTGCTGTGCTAGTGTAGTATTGTGCTGTCTTAGTGTCTTGCACTCTTGCTGAATGCTGATGCCTTGCTTTAGAAGTTAGCACTCTATTGAATATGCTGTTACATGGATTTTGGGTACTATTCGCTTTTTCGGTTCTACTCGGAACCGAACCGAAAGAACCGATACCGAACTTGGTCGGTTCTATGTTTTTTTAAGAACCGATCGATACTAGTTTTCTGAGAACAGAACTTCTTCAAAAACTGAAGAACTGAACGGTTCGGTTCGGTAGAACCGAACACCTAGGGCTAGCTAAGGCCCCCGCCCGCCCGCCGGCATCGGCAAGCGGGCAAGGTCGTGGCCGTCCTCCCAAGCAAGCATGCCCGCCTGCCTGCCCAGCACCAGCACTCCAGCAGTACCCACCCCACCCGCTCTCTCCTCCTCCTGCCTGCCACGATCAAAACTGCACGGCAAGAAACGAACCGGACCGGAGCTTGGCAAGAAAACAAAAAAACTTTTTGCTCCGGCTCGGCGGCGGCATGCGTGGTTTCCTGTGCCGTGATCGCGTGGCGCCACCCGCTCGCGATGCCGCGTTTTTTTACAGGAATGCTAAACACCACACGGGTGTTTTAGCACCTATAAACACACGATTTTTTTCATGTCTCTGACATGAGGCTTCGACCGACTCTTCCCCTTCGCGGTCCCGTCCTCCCCTTCGCGTGCTCTCTCTCTCACCGGCGACGGGACCGGTGAGCTCCTCCCGGTGCCGTGTTCGCGCAGCCACCGCCCGGATCAGACCTCCCCCGCCACCCGTCAGGCTGGACCTCCGTTGTCGCCTCCGCCGCCCCCAAGCCGGATCTCCACCACCCCCGCGGCACGGCCGTGCCGTGCCCGCTTCGCCGCGATTTGTTGCTTGTGATATGTGTCGACATATCCGTGATTTATCCTTGTCCTTTCATAGAAAAAAATTATTTCCTATCTATGCCAACGAAGAAGATAAACAGTGCCACGGGCGGCGTGACGGGCGGCTGAAGGTAGAAGATGAACAGTGCGCAGCGGCCGGCTGAAGGTAGAAGATGAACAATACATGCGGCTGCTGGAGGTAGAAGATAAATAGTGCCAGAAAAATTTAGACGTGGAGTTGAGGTAAAACACCCGAATGTCAAATGGACAGACTCTTTTTTTATCGGTATAAATATTCCGATGCTGCCCTGTCCCTGAGTTGGGCATTGTTTAGATTGCAAATTTTTGCAATCTGGACACTGTAGCATGTTTTGTTTGTATTTGACAAATTTTATCCGATTATGGACTAATTAGGCTCAAAAGATCCGTCTCGTGATTTACAACCAAACTGTGTAATTAGTTATTTTTTTTACCTACATTTAGTACTCCATACATATATTCAAAAATTGATGTAACAGAAAGAGAGTGAAAAAACTTGGAATTTGAAGGCTAAACGAGGCCTTGTACGCGTTGTTGTTTTCCCTCCCTCCTTTTTCGTCGTCTCGCTCTGTCTTTGTCTCTGGCTCTCTCTTCCCCACCCCCACCTCGGCCTCGGCTGGCTCAGCCTCAGCTCCTAACCCCACCTACCTCTCTGCCTGCTGCCCCGGCCCTGATCCTGATTTCCCCAATTGAGGCCGAGACCCGAGAGGAGGCACCTGCGCTAGCTGCAGCTGCAAACCGTGCGCCCCCGTCTTCCCCAGATCCGGCGCCGCCTAATCCGCCCCCTGCTCGCGCCAGCGGCCAGAGCCGTCCGCGTGCGCCCGCACCGCAGAGATCGTTTCGGGGGACAGCCGAGCAGAGCGCCAGAGCAGAGCTGACTCTGCTTGCCCGTTCTTGGTTGCTGTTGCTGGCGTGAGTGCAGGAGGAGCGGTTGATTTGATTCTCTCTGTCCCTCTCTCTCGCTTCGCGCGCGCGGGGGGTGCGTGCACGTACCATGAGAAGATGATGCGCGCCAGGCCCAAAGGTACATTCGCCGACGCGATGAGGGAGAGCTCCCCTCCTCCTCCGGCTCCGGCTCCGGCTTCGGCGGCGGCGGCGGCGGTGAAAGAGGACGAGTGGGAGGTGCGGCCCGGCGGGATGCTGGTGCAGAAGCGGAGCCCCGACGCGGACGCCCCCGCCGGGGCGCCCGTCCCCACCATCCGCGTCAAGGTCAAGTTCAACGGCGTCTACCACGAGATCTACATCAACTCGCAGGCCTCCTTCGGTAATCCCCGTAGAGTGCACCGCGCCTGGCGATCCTAGCTAGCTACGAGCTGCTTTCTGATCGAGATGGCCGGCGATGCTCTCCTGCAGGTGAGCTGAAGAAGTTGCTGTCGGCGCGGACGGGGCTGCACCCCGAGGACCAGAAGCTCGTGTACAAGGACAAGGAGCGGGACTCCAAGGCGTTCCTGGACATGGCCGGCGTCAAGGACCGCTCCAAGATGGTGCTGCTCGAGGACCCCGCCGCGCAGGCCAAGCGCCTCCTCGAGCAGCGGCGCACCGACAAGGCAGAGCGAGCCGCCAAGTCCATCTCCCGCATCAGCTTCGACGTCGACAAGCTCGCCACCAAGGTAAGAATCGATCGAGCAACCTACAACTAGTTCTTCTAGCTCACGGTGACCTCTCGAATGTTGAATTTGGCTGTTCAACGCGCTACTCAATTCGGTGCAGGTGTCGGCGCTGGAGACCATCGTCAGCAAGGGCGGCAAGGTGGTGGACGCCGACGTGGTCACCCTCACCGAGGCGCTCATGAACGAGCTGGTCAAGCTGGACTCCATCGCCGCCGAGGGCGAGGTCAAGGTGCAGCGGAGAATGCAGGTCAGTGCGTACGCTGCAGACTAAATTTCTTGCCGCTTCTTGGACGAATTCGCGCGCGCCGAGAGCTCAATCCGGCGCCCAACCGATGATTGCGCAGGAGAAGCGGGTGCAGAAGTACGTGGAGACGCTGGACGCCATCCGCGCGAAGAACGCGGCGGCGGCGGCGCCCAAGGCCAACGGCAACATGAACGGCCACGCCAAGGCCCGCGCGCCGCACCTCCCGCCGCGCCCGCCGCCCGTGTCGCAGCGGCGGAACTTCCAGCAGCTCTCCCCTGCGCCCGGCGCCGCCGCGGCGCCGCCCACGCAGAGCTGGGAGTCGTTCGACCTGCTGTCGTCGGTGCCGTCCACGTCCTCGGCCGCCGTGACCACCACCATGGCGGCCGCGACCACCACCTCGCCGGCCGGCGCCTCCCCGATCCCGCGGTTCGACTGGGAGCTCTTCTGAAGCCCTCCTCGGTGCGTGCCGGTTGATCGATCAGAATCAGACGGTACCTCCCCTGTCCATGGATCTTCTTCTCTGCTTGTTTCTTCTGTGGATTCTTTTCGATTTGTATATCTACTATATATCTACAAAAAGAACAGAGATCGACCCCGGTGCGGTGAGTGTGTTCAGTGAGTGAGTCAAAGTCCGTCAGTTCACAACTCCTCCTGTCATGAGGATCCATCCATGCATGTTGTTCAGTCACAGCAAATAAGTGGTGGTCTTCTTATGAATGACGATGAAGAAAATTTTCATGAAAATATACACACATATAAATAGCATGTATATTTGGTCGTGTATGCTTACGATGATGCTTGATTTCCATTCCAGTGCAATGCTTGTGTAGGACTACCCTGAATCAGAGTGTGTGAGAGGGGGCGAGTGAGATTTGCTGTGCAGGCGCATCATTGATTGGGCTTGTGTTCTGTGGGCACCGGGCACAATTATTGTTGGCCATCCGGCGTGCCTGCGCCAGGCGAGACGATCAGGCCTCGTTTAGTTTCCACCCTAAAACTGTATGTGGTGTACTATTTGGAATATTGAATATAGACAAAAAAAAACTAATTATATAATTTATGACTAATTTATGAAATAGATTTTTTAAGTCTCATTAGTCTATAAATTAATAATAAATTACTATAGTAACACATGTGCTAATAAAAAATTAATTAGATTTAATAAATTCGTCTGCAGTTTACTGATGCAACCTAACATCCGATTTGACGTCCAAAACTTCGGATCTAAACAAGGCCCAGCTCAGTTGGGTGGAGGCGAGGCGCGGGGCCGCCGGGCGCCGGCCGTCCAGTGAGGGTGCTCTGCTCGACTGATTCCTGTCGTGTCTGGGTGCGCTGTGTTATGGCACGCGCTCGCGAAACCGTGTGCAGTCTGCAGTGTGCTTCTCCATTTCAGTCAACAGTTCAGTGTGCTTCGAATACTAAGTACGGAATATCCCGTAATTATTTGACGGGGCAATTTTTTTTCTTTTCAATTTCGAAATTGGCAAAATTTTTAGGACAAAATTTTGAATCATACCACTTAAGATCATATACTCTCTAAATCCTCATTTGAAGATCCATTTAAATAAAAGTTGCTCTCTATATTTTTTCACTCTCCGACATATCTTGTGCGCACTCTTGAGAGCCAGCCCTGCTCTCTGTCTTTGACAAGCGAGAAACCATAGAGGATCGCAATATTTGGAGATTTAATTAAAGAAGTTGTTGGAGAACAATTTTTTCATTAAAATCTATATTCCTATCAGTACATAGGGATATAGGGATCGAAACGAATCGGATTTTTATGGAATCAAATCTGGATATCGCCTTTTACCACAATTTAATTAGAATATGAATACAGATACAAATATTTTTGAATATGAATACAAAACAAATGTCTCGGAATCAGATTTTCTTCGAATATTTACCCAATTCAACTCAAAGTGCACATTGTTAAATTCAACATACATGAATAGAATTTTACTACTAAGTTCATCGATAAACAAAGTGAAATAAAATCAAAGTGCACTTATAATAATCTCCAATATCGAAGTAGACTAAATTAATGGATAATATTTAATAAAATGATAAGTCAAATAAAGAAATCCAAATAAGAATGGTAGGTAGCAAGTAGCCATTTTGTTTTATCAATGTTTTTGTAATTACCAAATTATTGCACAAGTAGAGATTAAAGTATGTGGGGGTATATAACATAGCTAAGAATAGCTCATAAAAAATAATATAGTTATCACTAAATATTTAATGATTAAATATATCAATTAATCAATCATTATTTATATAATATTTATCATAAAATTACAAATTATTTTAGTTATATAAAATGACTTACATAGGTAAAACATAAATTAAAGTATTGAAATAATTTACAACAACAAATATATGAGCTTTGAACTTAATGAAAAAAATACTTAAATTAATTTAGTCTTTGTGCATCGTTAATAGTATTAAATTAATATTTATTTATTTATATAATATTAAATAATTTCAATGCATCACTACTAATATAAAAATTAAATAATTAGTCACTAGTTACCTTGTTCTTTGCGGATACGGATGAATGTCGGATATTGTGTATTTTTATCGAATACAGATTTGAGATCAAATAGGGAAAATACTAAAAAAACCCGAATTCAGATACATCCGATTAGTATGCACATTATAAACGGATACAGATATGGATATCTATATTACAACTTTAAGTGGATACAAATTCAGATAATTTGGATTTTCAGACATCCATTTCCACCGCTACTTGGAGTTGCTCTACATGGGACATACGGAAGAAAATTTCTTGCAGCTTTACCCTTGCAAGCTTTGCAAACAGGCTGGTTTAAACCTAGGAAATGTAAGGCACAAGTGGAAACATTCTGACATTGCACCAGGTCCGTCCTTCACATAGCTACATCCAAGTGAACCATAACTCACAAAATTCAGATAGCTCAAAAATCAAGTGGTAAGAGTCCTTTAACATACTCAGGTGTTGTATATAATAGGCGCTTTCACTAGTGTGCTGTGTCTCGGTTTGTTTCTCAGATCGTAAATTTCTGATCAAATAAAGGGCTTTTAGGATGCCATTTTTCACCCAATTTGCCTCGCAGCTCGCATTTCTCAAGATGTCTGACAGTAGAAAGCACTTAGACCGGGACTGCCTATGCGCGTGTTTAGTTGGGGGAATTTGAGAATTTGGGCTATTGAAGCACTTTCGTTTTTATTTGGTAATTAGTGTTCAATCATGGACTAATTAGGCTCAAAACGTTCGTCTCGTAATTTCCAACCAAACTGTGCAATTAATTTTTTTTTGTCTACATTTAATGCTCCATACATGTATCGCAAGATTCGATGTGATGGGTACTGTAGCACTTTTTTAGAATTTAGGGTTGAAACTAAACACACGCTATATATACTCCTAGTAAACTTGTTACTACGTACTACTACTAGTAGTAGATCACTAGATCTGTACTAGAAGGAAGTCACAGCTGATCAATCGGTTTGTTTCTATTCCCAATGGTAAACTCTGGAGTCCGGAGAAGAGAAGACCACGTGCACTTTGAAGGCCCCCAAGAAGTCGTGTGTCTGAAGCACACTTTCCAGGGCCCAATCGGTGCCGTGCCCGTGCAAAAACAAATGCCAATTGCGAGTTTGACCTGATTCTCACCTGCAGCTAAGCTAGAAGCCGTTATGATGCAAGTGGCCGGCAGGGCAGCAAAGAAAGCTCGTCATTTGTTCCGTTGGTTTCGCTGAAAAGTCGGACTATAAAAATAATGTTCGTTAATTGGCTGTGAGAAGAAAATAATGTACACTGGCTATAACTTGGATTGCAGAGAGACGAGAGAGTCGATCAGACGAAGGGATGTGGGGTCCCACTGTTCTGTGGGCACGGAAAGAGAGGGGAACGTCGATGAGTTGGCAATGATGAGGTCGAAGTGGACTTTTGGATGCTTCAGGCCGCCCGCCCGTGGCCATGCATATACCATACTAGTACATTATTCATGCGTGCCGCCGGAGCCGGACCGGGCGAGCAGGAATTCCGGCGTATAATTCCGCGGGCGTTTGATTGGCTAGCCGGGCCATCGGCACGCGGTACAGTACAGGCGAGGGCGAGGGTCGGACTCGGCGTCGTCGTTTGTCACTTGTCAGCCGCGAAGCTACGTTATGTTACCGCCTGTAGCAGACAAAGCCACGCGTCCCGTAGTGTAGGTGTCTCTGGCTCGACAGGGACAAAAGCTTCTCTCAGTTTTATATGCAGCGGCTTGGACCAGCGCGTGTGCGGTGCTGTTGCATGCAAAGCAGAGTTTGGCGTCATGTGACCGTGTTCGGTGTTGGCCACGTCTGGGAATGGGATCACGGCCTGGAACTGCTTTCGGGACCTTTTCCACCGCCCGCCCGGTGAAGCGCGAGAAAAAAAACAGGACCCCGGCACTCCGGCAGCAGATCGATTCCATTTCCAGGGCGCGTCGGCGTCGCCACCGGCAGCGGCAGGTCAAGGCGCAACGAAACGAACGCACCGCGCACACCCGTCGATGCATGACCGGGTGGTCAGGTTTGGAATCGACCAGGGTGCCCTGCGTTGCGTCCTTGCGTGCGTGCCTGCTCGGGGTCGGGGCGGTGCTCTCCCACATGAGCAGCAGTTCACCAGCAGCCAAAAGTGGCCGCGCTTGCGCACATGCAGTGCAGGCATATACCAACTCCCTCTCCCTACAACAATACAACAACCAGAGCAACCTTTTACGGTCCTTACCATCATCCGTGCACCGTGCATGGACACACCGACTGACCCATAAATACGCAGGCGCTACCGCCTTGATGACTGCCGCCGCAGCTGCTACTTTTCGTATAGTACCTGTACCTTGCGTGGAGGCAGTTGGGTTGGGTTGGGTTGGGTTGGTTAGGAGCAGTTGTGTGCGTGCAGGATCTAGCAGTAGGAGCGGTTCGCGCGGAAGTGCTATTGGCTAGCTGATGAGGGAGTGCACAGGACATGCGGACAGGACTGGACAGCGCCCGTGTGTGTCGTCGATCTGTGTGTCTGGGCGGGAAAGATTGCTCTGGTAGCTGCGGTTCCACTTGGGCGGCGCGGCCGCAGCTGTACGTGCACAGCTGGAACGGGGAGGCGATTGCTTTGTCGTTGCGATGACGGGCGGCAGGGGTGGGGCGACGGGTGCTTCTTCGCTCCCGTGCTGGCTGCGGTAGCCGGGAAACACGCCACATGACGCCTCCTTGCGAATTATTGGCAGGGCTGCTGTAGTTAGTGGCAAGTTCTGTTAGGGGTGATTGGTTGCACGCAAGAGGCCATCCTGAGCACCATCCCAGCACCGCTCGGTGCATTTGGCCGTGTTTGGATGCCTGCTCACATTCATTTTCCTGCTCCGTCTCATTCATCTTCACCCCTCCGTCCCGCATGTATCCGTCTTCTCGATTCTCACTTCCCTCGTGATGCAGGAGGACGCGATGCAC